GATTTAAACAGAGGTAGTAGAAGTACACAGTGTAGCTGCAAGAGGGATGAACTTGGTGTGATTGCCTTATCTACTTATTCTTTGTTGTCACCATGGGCTGGAGCGGTGAAGAGCTTTAATCTGAATATCTGCTTTCTTATATCTAAAATGAAGATAATACGAATTTTTACATTGTTCTGTAAATGTTAAATGACTTAATATGGATAAATATCCTAATATGAATAAAATACATATGTGCATATAAATGTAATTCTGAATAACATATATATGTACACATACAAATTCTTTGGATAGTATCTTTTTCAGTCTTTTTCTTCTATAAGCAGATCCAGACTTAAAGACCTTGAGCTCAATAGCAAGAGGTAATCTATCATGAGGCAGCAAATATGTTTTCTCTTGGGAAAGGAAAATGGGACCACCTACTCCATCCTGAACGAGGCAGTTCCCTCTGGCTGAGACCTGGGCAGCAGCAATTACTGTGGCTTTGAGAGAAGAGCACAAACCACAAGGTGCAAGGGGGCATTCGCCACTTTACGTAAGTACGTTTACTTTGAGAGTTTTAGAAATTAGAAAAAAAATAAGGCCTTGGTGGTCATTAAAGCACTATCTAATGTGTTTGGTGGAAGTGGTCCAATAATACCATGAAAGGTAAATTATTTCTATTTCATCATGATCTTTGGGGAATTCAGTCTTGTATGTTTTAATTGCTACCTTAGTGCCACTTGCACAGAGACCATGTATCACTAAAGTAAGCTTCTTTTAACTGTCAATTACAATGAATATACTCAAGTAAAACTCAATGAAAAAGGTATTTTCAAATCTTTTGCATTGTGCTGTAAAATTGCCAGCAGTGTCATGAATCAGTTAAGAGTGGGAATAATATTCTCTGTATTGACATGCAAATGAACTCACTAAGCAACCACTTTGCTTTAGAGATTTACATAATTTGCTACCAACAGCCACATTAAATTAATATTAATTACCTGGTTTTAAAGCAAGAAAGTTCAGAGTTAAGCTACACTTCTTCCCACATTACAACACGTCTATGCATGAAAACGTTGACACATAAGGAATAAAAACATTTTAGGTGTAGGAATATCCAGGGTCTGTTCCTTAGAAATGCATGGCTTACTACCCTAAAATGTATAGGAAGTACATCTGATGCATCTCTTTCAGAGAGAGTAACTTTCAAATTCTTTATCAGAACTCATATTTTCTCAGAATCAGTGTAGTACTGTAAACTCTTCATTATGCACACATCCATTCTGTTTCTTATTGGTAGCCAATTTTCAGTCCCAATTGTCCCTTCTTGCCAATCAGCATGAGAGCTCCTGAATGACATTTTCATGGCAAGACTCTTGTGTACTCAGGCATACTAGTATAACCAAAAAATTGCAACAATTAGAAGACACATTTGACACTAAAAGTTATATATTGTTTTGTACCTTATTATGTCAATTATTTTTGTCTTTTGTATTAAGTAGCATTTCTTAAACTTGCATGTTTCAGATCATTCCCTCATTTTGATTGCATGTTTATGGTAGTAGAATTTACCAAAAATTGTATACATATATATATATATATTACTTGCACACATGCACACTCACATACTTATTATATCAAGCACTTATGCTATTGTTTAATTCTTCCTCTTTCAGAAAACCCATATTAAAACATTGGAATTCTGAATTTATCAAAAACACTATTTCATCTATTTTAATAATATTAACTTCCTCAAAGCCAAGGTGATGAAATCACAAGGGACCAATTGCTTTGTTATATGGTCACTAATTTAATGGGAAAATTAGGATTTTCCACAAGGGACTCTACAGCTCACCTTAACTACATTATGCTCAAAGGACATTGGAGGTGTTGAAGCAGAAGGTGATTAAGTCTGTTTGGCAAAGGATAATTGGTCACATGGCTGTTACAGTGATGTAAACAACAGGAAGCATTTTTTTCTAGCATATTGGTTCACAAGAGTCTTTTGAACTTTATATAATATACTAAGTAATAAAAAATACCAAAGATAGAATGGTGATTTGGGGCAAATAAAAAGGACTAATAGAAACATATTACTCAAGGTCTTTGGGCCTCATTGATAAAAGAGCATTAAACATGAAAAATCACCCTCTTCAAAGAAAATTTTCAATAAACTATTGCTCATAATTTTTAATATAATTTTAAGTTACTTTAGAAAAGGCAATTCACTAAAATGTCATAGCAGATTTCAAGTTTATTATTACTTTCTTACTATATTGTAGATGGAAAAAAAGGGAAAGTAATATGTAGCTTCAATAACACAAAACACAAATTGTTTCACCTTTTATCTTAAATCCCACGAAACATACATATTCATTTTATTTGTAAGGAAAAAAGACATCTATCTAGCAATATCTTTTTCTGATTTTTGTCTAGATCAAAGTACTTTAAGAAATTGAGAAACCATTAAGAAAAACAACTTGAGCATGTCATGTGACTTATAATTAAATGATTTCAATACTTTTCTATACACTTTTTAAAAGTCATCTTCTTGAAGCAAAAAGTGCTGTATACACTCGCAGTGCTCACACAAAGAGATGAATTAATGCTTCAGCAGGCTAGCCACTGTTGTATTAAATATTTTTTTGAATTTCACATGGTCAAGTTACATGAAAATCTAGCCATTTCTTTGTCGAGCAAAGAATTTATGAAGGGCCACCACAATGGATATCTTTAATAGGTGTCTTTAAAAGTTGGCAATTTCATTTGTTTACAGTAAGAATCATATTCTGTATCCAAGTAGAATTCCTTATGTGCTAAATTTGGGTGTATTATTGTCACCTAATTTCACTTAAGAGCTAAGATATAAAAGTTATATGTTTAAAAAAAATCGGGAAAATATTTCTAATAATTTAAATTTGCAATCTCATTGAATCTACCTTGCCGGTTTTATTATTGCCAATGGCATATTTTATTTTAGCTTTTAAAATCATTTCACTGACAACACGAAACTTCATCTGAAAGAATTCCAGATATTGGTAGTTCAAGGGAACTGTTTATAATTGAGTATATATATTGGAAGGCATATATCTTGGAAAACTTTATGCAAAAAAATTCAATAAGCTACTCACATATATTAGGGTGAATATAGTGTTTAGTTAACGCTACTGCCTTTCAAGTAAGTTATAGAATAAAATAAGTACTGATGTTTCAATATAATAAAGAAAAATTAAAAGAACCCATGATTTTGCTTGAAATTCCATTTTCTAAGTGTTTATACTAATATAACTAGTTTTAAAAAGAACATTTCATATGTTAAGAAGAATATAATTACTCTATATTCATTTAAATGAGGCTGTTTGGTATAAGCTTCAGGGCCCAATGTTCCATATATTCCTAGTGTGATTCTCTACCTGCTTAATCTTTAAAAATTTGTATCAATATTTCATGTAAGATCACATGACTGACAGGAATCTACAGAGAACATCTGCTTAGGGTAAAACATGGGAACAACTTAAGAGGATTACATCTGACCTCTAGTATTTGCTATATATCCGTTTCTTGTAGCAATCACTCTCATGTAGGATTATGCTGTAAATAAAATGTAAAACCTCTACACAGATAAATTATTTTAAATCATAAACTCTAAAGCTAAAATTCATCCTTGTAAGTGTAATGCAACTAGAGTAGAAATTTTTATAATTATTAAAAATAAACACGTCTTTAAGTTTACTTAATGTACTCTTTAGTTGCTGAGAAACAGTCTAGTCAGCTAAATGATACTAAGTTTGAAACAGCTTATATTTTACCCATTCCTATTAATATAGGACATCTAGTTGCAATCTGAACTCTCTCCCTAGAATTGAAAGAAACCCCCACCCCCATGTTTTTCCAGCCATCATTTATGTTTAATGTCACTAAATGACATAAGTGAAATATCTGAATTCTGTTTATCGGACAAACTATCATGCCTGTCAAATAGTTATGTATCGTAATAAGAAATACACAGAGCACCAGCCAACTTTTATCATTTAATAATTGCTCACTATGAGAAGTACTGTTCACTGGTTTTCGGCACTGAATTCTTTCTGCATACACGCTCAAAACACACTGCCAATCGACAAAAGGAACATAGCTTCAAAAGAAAATCTCCTAAGTAGAGAAAAGCTCTCTGTTAAACATGCAAGAGGTTAAACATTACTGAAAATAGCGAGACATTTTCTCAGCCCCCGCTCCACAGTTCCATTCAATTACCAACAGCAGCAGTGACTATAATACAAGCTAATACTGTATTATTGAATCAGAGCTTCCCATTTAGACCCACCTCTAACCTGAGCGAGTGGGGAGGGGATGACAGTTACTAGTCAATAGCAGAACAAACAGCCCCCAACTAGGAAATGCACATGACCTTGGGGTGTAGAATTCTCAGACTGAGTTTCACAAGTTTTATTTGGATTTACTGCATAACAACACATCTAAATGAACCCAGCATTGGTACAAATTCTCCTGTCCCCACCACCTCCCTCCAAAAATGTCAGGAGAGCTCTACACTTTGCAGTCTATGCTTTAGAAACCAGAGGAAATACTGATTATTCAGAGATTAGTCCACTCCAATATATTTTAAGATTATGTTTGTTCTAAACAACTTGTTGGTTGATTTATTTAATGCAATTTACTAACGTATTTGGCGTCTTGCATTGAAAGGTTCTTGTTCCCTGATCCATGCTGAAAGTGTTGCTCTACAAATATTTATATTTATAAAGCAGGATGTAACATGATCACATCAACTTCACCAAAAATATAAAAATAAAAAATTAAGCCCTCAACTTCCACTCTTGAATTCAGTGCATGATCACCAATAAATGCTCTTGCAATAATAACAATAATAATAATTGCAATTATTACCAAAAGTCCCGTTTTAAATTATAAAAATAATCATAACTTGCTTCTAAATTTGTGTATGGCAATATGCATTAATTTCCCATTTGTAATAATTTATAACAATATTTTTTTCTTACCTTATTTTAGTAGTCAAAAGTCTCCCAGAAAGATTCCTAAAACGGTGTGGGTATATAAATTGCAGTAATAATAATAATTTTTTTAAAAAACTAAAAGATCGTCTTAGCTGTGAAAAGATGAAAATAGTTTGGTGTAGAACTACAGAAATCTCCAAAGTCACGCCTGAATGGGCGCCCAGGTGGCAAGCGGAGGACTCTCTCCCACGTCCGGCACCACACTCCTTTGTCGAGTCGACCTGGTCCTGCCGGGCAAGCGGGTCCCGCAGGGCGCAGAGGGTGCAGGAGGGCGTTGCCTCGAGGCGCTGGGGCCGCCTGTCCGTCGGGTCCCGGGCTCCTCACGACAGCACCGCGGACAGCACCAGCTCGCTCGCCTCCAGTTAGGCTCAGCCGCTGAACTGGGCTGATTCCCGCGCCTCCTCCCCAGACCGGAGCTGCTGCCACTCAGCCAGGGCGCGCCCCGCCCCCGCCATCTGACGTAACTACTTGCATATCGACTCTGGGGGCGGCGCGGGGCCGCCCCCGTGCTGGGGCTTCTGCGGGGCCAGCTGGAGCGGCACAGCCCAGGCTCGTGAGCAACGTGGGCTTCATTGGACTTCGCGACCCATCCACAGCCAGTCTTGGGGACACTAAATGCTCCGGCGCCGGGGCGGCTTTGCCTTGCCAGGCTGCCGTCTCCGTACGCCCCACGAATCGCGGCGGGCCCAGCGCCGGCGGGGGGCGGGGAGCGGGGCCCAGAGCGGCTGGGGGACGGAGTGGTCCTTTGAGCCACCCCAAAACACCCCCTGATCCTTTTGATCTTGCTGGCCAAACTTTTCCTTTTCCTGCTATTTGTTTACTGGAAGGGTTGTGTTTGGTGTTCGTTCCCTTTCCTCGGTTCACGGAGCTGCTAGAGGGAGTCGCTGCAGCAGAAACTTGTTCAGGAGGAAAAATTGGTTTGAGCACTGGGAGAAAATGCGGAAGCGTGCGATGCTTAGCATTATTTGTAAACAGAATATTTTCTTTAAAAAAAATAAAATATGAGTGCAGCATAGTATATATCAGACTTCATGTGTTCCTATAAAATCTGCAGAACCTTCCCCCTTCTCTCATGACTTAAATACATGTCAAGCTGTATGGAGTTGAAGATGCGAGGGTTTAAAAAAAAAGTCATTCTGTAATGACAAAAGTGGAAGCGCTCAGCTTCAACTCCCACTGCCAAAATCCTGAAGGTCATGCAATATTTATTATGTCTAATATATCAATTGTTCTATGAAAGAGAGAGTATGCTGAAAGCACTTCATAGCCTTTAGCAATTCTCTCAGTAAATGTGATGCTTCTTGTCCCAGTGAGGCTTTAAGGGCGTTGACAGCAAGAGAAAGGGGGGCTTCCATGCCAGATTCCTGACTGTTAAAACTTGTAAACAGACACTTTCAGTGAACTGAAACAATCAATCATCAGGAAGGGTCATTATTCACATGCTATCCACATGTTCCACCCACAACTGCTAGGACTCACTTCTACAAAGAAATGAATAAATAAACTAAACTTAAATTTTTCTAGGTTGGATAAAACATTTTTCATGAAAAAGTTGTTTATTCAAATTTTATAGCATTCAGCACATTGTTTTCCATCAAGTGTATACATATATACATACTGATTATGTGTCATCATATGCCCAGAGACCATATAATTTGGCACTGGATCTGCTCATGAATGCTTTCAGGGACTCTGATGAAATGAGTACACTTACTTTCCTATTAGAAAAAATAATAAACCTAATTTTCTGCAATACTTAAGTCATTATTTGAGGAAGAATATTTACTTTGTGGGCATATATGCCCAAATTCCTTCTTTAAAGTTACTTAAACAGGAGCAAAATTGAGAAAAACATGGTAATTTTGCTTCTGAGGGAACTTTTTTTTTTTGCTTTGTATCCATGCAAACCTTTCTTTTCAGCTTTCCAGCATTTGTCAATTCCTTCCCCAAATATTCACTTCCGTGGGAATATCCCTCCAACACATGTAGCCATAATGCCTGCATTCCAAGTAATCTGCCATGTTCTCTTTCCCTCTGATAACTACTGATTTTATGTAAACATACAAATGGCAACTGCCATGCCTTTTTGCACTGTTCATTGCATGCACATACATACACACATACAAATAGGCCCTCTAATGGATGCTTTTTTTCCTCATTATGCATATGAAAATGCTAATGTGTTTTTGCTGGTTTTACATGTAACAGGTGCCCCTTATGTTGTGCTGTATCCTCTCTTTTTAATGAAGAACCATTCCAGTCAGGAACGAAGAACATATGATTCCATACTGTGTACTTCCTAACCCTCCTCTTAGGGTTTGTGTATGTGGGAGATTGTGGTGGTGTAGATTACTGAGGGTACTGAGGAGAGAATTCAAGCAAAATATTGCTGTTCCTCAGTTTTGTTTGTGGAATTTGAAATTACTCAAATTTAAAATAAATGACTGGGCTGTGGAAAAATAAATCCTAAAAGTCCCACAACTCCCAAAGTGATTTTAATAGTAGATTTAGATGCCATGACGGCATGAAAGACAGCATTTTGGGGCAGATAGGCATGCTACAATTACTGCTGAGCCAATTGAATTATCTGTACTTGGGCTGATGAGAGCGCACATATAATGCTTCTTTTGGAAATGTCACATAGCATATTTTGGTTTGCCTCACGCCAACATGCCAAAATGTTAGAGAAGACTTAAAAGTTCACTGTGGAAATATATAGAGTGTGTTATAAAAATTCTTACAAAATTCCACCAAACCCTGGATCATATGTTGTTTAATAGATACAATTTTTTAGTTCACTTCAGTAATCATATTGTTTTGTGGTATGAATTAAATAAAGGCAGACATAATATTATTCAAAAGCCCAAGGGAGTAAAACTGTAAAACAAACTTAGGTTTCAAGTATGGAAAGAAAAAACAGAGCACTTTCTCATTGTCTGAGCAAAAGAGAAAGAAGAAAAGAAAAAAAGCAAGAGAAGGAATGGAACCGTCCCGGCACACATGCCCGGGGAGGCGCATGTGCAGGGCAGTGTTGGGAGGACCCGCGCCCTCCTGGGGAATTCGACGTTTGCGCTCTCCTAATTAATTGGCCTTGTGACCAAGATCAAGTTATTTAAACTCCTTCCATCACATTCAACAATTGTAAAATTAGGGGATTGTATTAAATTATCTCTAAAGTCCCTTATGTATCTGTCGTTCTGTGATTTTATATTAGGATTCAAAAACTTCATACATTTATATATGTTTTCAATATTTTAAGAACTTTCTCTTGAGGTCAGATAAATTGGCATCTGGTGACTGAGACTGTGAAAATGGTACCTTGGGTGACTAGTTTGGGATGTGTGGAGGGGACCGGTGACGAGAACCAAGGACCACGTTAAGAGAGGCTCAAAAGAAATCTTACCTACCCAGGCTGACACTGAGAGACCGTCACTTATCTTTATAAAAGCAACATTACAATATTATCACATATAATCACACATATAATTACCGTTCACGGTATTTAAAGTAATTGTAAAGCAACAATAAAATGTAAGGCATGCAGAAAAGTAATTAGATTTTCTTTTATTTTAAAGTGTCACTGCAAAGATGAGTAAAACATTACGTGAATATACTCAAGGAAAATATCTTTAAAGCTGAATGACCAACATCCACTTAAGGATTTTAATTTAGGTAATTTACATGAACATATTAAAATGTAGTACACAGAAATTGTGAAGCTCATTGTGTTGTCTTGTGTGTATTTATCCTTGTATGAAAGATTTACCTTTTAATCACACTTTTTCATTTCTCAATTTTTGGATTGCTGCAGTGTCATCACACTTTACAAGCTCCTTTTCAAATTATAATTATTCTAATGAACTTGTACATTAGAATTTTAAATATCTAAAGATATAACAATGTATGCTTTGTTGATTTTTCTTTTTGAACCAATTATGAGAATGTTTTCTGTAAATTAAGAACATGCTTACTTTAAAAAGCAAAGATCCACTACATTTTGCTAGGTAATTTTCATGCTTAATTTTGGGAGATCAAAATAAAACAGGGCCAGGAGAAAAAAAAAATCCTAGCCTTAAATGACCAAGCCTTCCTTAATTAAAGAAAACAATAAGATTACAACATAAACACAAAATATGAGTATTTTAGAAAGCCCAGCTCTCCTGCGGCTTCTATGTAATTACTTTTTCTCCTGCTACATATATGCACACAGTGTTTTCTAAGAGTGGAGAAATGTGCTGCATTTAACAATTAGTTCCTATGAAAAGAGAATTTCTGAAATTTAATTTTAAGAAAAGCTCTTGCTGTTTAGCCTCTCAATAGCAATCATAAACGCTAACCATGAAACGTCTTACATTTGACATTTGAAAATATATTTTCCTTTCCTTAGTTTCTCTTTTGTTTTTCTTTCCTACTTCCATTACTTCCTTCCCTGCCTAACTGTTGTTTTCTTAGGACCTTTCTGTCTCTCTCTCTTTTATTTTATTTTAATATTCTACTAATAAAACATTTATTAGAATGTGTTATAGAATAAGTATAGCTAACCCAGAACTGTGATTTTGAATCACGATGTGGAGGGAGGGAACATACACTGAAGAGGATTTTCAAATATGTTTCCTTTAAAGTATGGACATATGTTTAGGATATAAAATCGAAACCTTAATACTAATATATAAAACTCCAGATGGAAGAATGCTGTTTTATTACACACACAGGGACACAATTTTGACCTCAGTGGTATTTGAAATCAAATACATAGTTTTCATGAGATTATATTACTTTAATTTTAAAACTCTCAGTATATGTTGAAAATTGGGATTATATTTATTTATTTACCTTTTTGTGTATACTGTCTATAATACTGCAGACATTGGGTTGGTTTTGGATAAGAGATTGTTACATTTATAATGAGTAATATGAAAGCAAGTCTTTTTCTTACTAGTAAACACACGGAGATTCACTAGATAGACTATTTTTATAATATTTAATCATGAATCTACCTCCAAAATGGTACATTTCAAGAAGGATTAGAGGTCTTTTTCAGAAATACTATTCTAAAACTTGAATATAACTGCTTATTTTATCCCTCAAATTCTCAGACCAATGCACATATGAATTCCTTTATTTCCATCATGTAAACGGGCTTCTCAAATTCCACAAGCACCTGACAGATATATGATATGAATAAAAGTTATAAATTCAAGAAATTGGTTGATGCTAAACTGTATGTAGGTAATACTAAATAGAGAAAGGACAGGCCATGTTTCAAAAAATGCTGCATATCTGGAAAGCTAAAACCTACAGCATTTAACAGAGTAAACGAGGTTGGATTTTATGGCATAGATGTATTCATTATCGTCAATAATCTGGGATTCATT